AGGCCTCCTGAAGGCCTCGCACCCACCAGCTAATGTCCCTGACAATCCACCACAAACCCTCTCGCACGGCGAATGAAGGGAAAAGAACAAGAGCAAAGACTGTCACACACACACACACACACACACACACACACACACACACACACACACACACACACACACACACAGAGAAAGGATTGAACGAGAGGAGTTAACCAGAGGAGCGAGAGATCAAAGACAGACACGAGAGAGAATATACGGAAGGCGGAAGAGCGAGAGATCAAAGACAGAACCGAAGAGAATAGACAGAAGACGGAAGAGCGGATAGATGAATCTTTGAGGCGGGAATGGTCATAGTTTGAGTGAGTGCAAGACGGATCGCCACGCCCCAAATGGTTGATCACAAAGTTTCTCTTCCCCTCAAACTATGACGTTTCTCATCATGGTAGTGGGCTCGAGCCACGCCCCAAATGATTGATCACAAAGTTTCTCTTCCCCTCAAACTACGACGTTTCTCATCATGGTAATGGGCTCGAGCTCTGTACGCAATACTAAACGAGCGAAGGGACGATATTGCGTCGGACCACGTTCGCCATGTCCGAAACATCGGATGCATATCGGACACAACCTGGGCGTAAGAGCACACAGCGTGCCCCATCGCAAATGACGAACAAAACCGAAAGACGGGCATGAGAAGCACTGCCTGCAATCAAAAACAAAAAGTCTACTTACTCCTTTGACCAGGTAAATTAGATACTTATTGCCGCGATTTGGTCATATGCGAACCGAAATGGGCAGGGCCTACCGGCCTCCCACCAAAATCAAAAGATCGTATTGGTTTTTTTATTTTTCCAATTTAGAAAAACGCACATATCAAAAACAAAAAGTCTACTTACTCCTTTGACCAGGTAAATTAGATACTTATTGCCGCTATTTGGTCATATGCGAACCGAAATGGGGCAGGGCCTACCGGGGCCTCGCCCCACATGCCATCGAATAGTATAGTTTACTAGTCTGTGTGACAGTGTGGGACTGTTAGGAAGTTTTGATTCTGTTTTATACAGACGGTGGGATGATGCATCCCGCCATTTAGGGCAGGGTGCCGTAAGGCTCCGTTTTCTCATTGGTTTAGAGTTGCTTTAGGGGTCCTGTGCGGAATGGAGGGAGAGGCAATACGGTGTAGTTTACTGACCTCTTTTTGTTGGCATAGAATACTGTTCCTTTTTTGCCGCCTCACTCCGCTGGTCTGTGAACATGCACAAAGGACAAATATCATGGCAAGTCTCATGGCGACTCCAAGGGCCTAGCGGCACTACTCTCCAAATGTGCAAAATGAGACTGAATCCACCGCCAGAACATGGAAAGATACGTTGTTGTTTTTTTTGCTTTTTTTTTTATAAAGGTAAGCTATATTCTTCTCTCATCTATCTCATTTTTCTTGGTAGTAAGCATCTATCTCATCCTCTCACTACCGGCATCTTTTTTGTCTTTTGCACATGTGGAGAGCACTGCAGCCAGGCCCCAAGTTTTTTTTTTTTTTTTCCATTAGTACATCCGAGCATGTTTTTTCCAACCCTGATTTCACTGCGCTTCGAGTTTTGCCAAGCCGGGTCCCACTCCATTTTTTTTTATTTTTTTTTTTAATGTGGTCCGATCAGAACAGATACTACACTTGTACTCTCACGGGAAGAAAACAAGAAAAGTTGTGGCCGTGAAACTCACAAAATAAGGAAAAGAAAACAAAGGAGAGACTCACATCGTGATTGCAGTTGTGTACATTCTTGGAAGTGGTGGTGTGAGTGTGCCCTCAGTGAGGGCATCTCAGCCCCATGACCAGATTGTCAGATTCCATAAACGAAAAAAAATAAAAATAAAAGTGGAAACACAGATTCTGCCATGAAAATGGCTGGATACATTCCTCTAAGAGCCATTGGCATTCACAGTTACAATCCACTGAGGAAACACAGTATGCGCAATTCCAGAAAGAGAGTGAGGAAAAAAAAAAAATCATGGTGTGCCTATTAGGCCCTGAAAATGGCTGGATACATTCCTCTAAGAGCCATTGGCATTCACAGTTACAATCCACTGAGGAAACACAGTATGCGCAATTCCAGAAAGAGAGTGAGGAAAAAAAAAAAATCATGGTGTGCCTATTAGGCCCTGAAAATGGCTGGATACATTTCTGTAAGTGCCAGTGTGTTGAGGCTTACAATCCTCTGGGAAACACACAAAGGGCCTCGCCTCACTACTGTGGTTTCCCGCCTTTGACTGTCACACAGACTAGTAAACTAGGGGCCTCGTTCCACTACCCTCGACTTGAAAAAATCTCAAGGGTGGCGCCATTCCACTACGCCCTTGAGATGTGCTAATCACTATTGAAAAGTGATTAAGGTTCCCACCTCAAGAAAGTGCCCCTCTGAAACTCAAGAGCCGTACGGTGCCCAGGCAACTTCGGCCAATTTTCAAGTGACCTCCCAGAGGTGACTTCAGTTTTCTTGGAAACGGCGCCAACATGTGCCGCCAGGCAATTCAGCCCCCCGGTCCGGTGCAGGCAGCGAACTGAAATTTGAGTCACAATCGCCTACAAGGAGGAAAATTCCCTAATGAACAGGGGCGCACATTTTCCCGCTCGTCGCAGGAACTGCAGGGTGTAGTGGAACGACGACGACCTCTAGTATTTTTTAATTACGTTTTGGCTCAAGGGCGCCCGTAGGGCTGCCCTTGAGATTTTTTTCAAGTCGAGAGTAGTGGAACGAGGCCCCTATACTATTCGATGGCATGTGGGGCGAGGCCCCGACCTCCCGGCCTCCCACCAAAATCAAAAGATCGTATCTTTTTTTTATTTTTCCAATTTAGAAAAACGCACATAAGTTAGGGAGACCCCGAAGCCATTTAGAGGATTGTAAAAGCTTCTTGGACGGGTAGAAGAGAATTGGACATCTACTGATCCGATATGGACAGGTGTTCTAGTAGGTTGTACGGACACACTATGCACTACATCAAGCCACGGAGCAATTTAGACCGCCGAAAGGATAAATTAGCCGGGCCCAAAGAAAATCGTGTGTCCTGCTCACGTGCGTCCTGCTCTCAGCGGCGTGCTGCATGCATCACGTACTCTTCCTTGTGTGTTCTCACTTGCGTGCTTTCATCTGCGTGCTCTAGCCTATCTGCTCTCACCTGCGTCCTGCTCTCACCGGCGTCCTGCACTCATGTGCGTCCTGCTCTCACCGGCGTCCTGCACTCATGTGCGTCCTGCTCTCACATGCTTGCTCGTGTCACCGGCGTGCTTCGTCCTGTAGACCTTCCACCCACATGTCTTATTCGTTCAAGTTCCTAGCACTGGGGTCCTTTGGTAATCACTGCCGATATGTGCCAAGGATGGATTAGACAGTTGACGCCAAACTTCGGCAAGCTAATCGAGGCGAGGTTCTAGATCGGACAGTCTACGGGACGAGCAGGCTCATGATTCTGACTAACATGTGAAACTGCTTGTGGTTAATTTGATATTTTCACCCGTCCAAGTGGTCTGTGTAGGCTCTCAAATCGGTTGATGTTTGGACAAAATCGGGAATTGGCAATTACTAATTTGTTAAATCATGTGGCCTAACAAGATCAAGCGCCCAAACTGTTAAATCTTTGTGGCCAAATCTTTGTGTCCAAACTGTTAAATCTTTGTGTCCAAATGCTCGGGACGAGCAGACTCATGATTCTGACTAACGTGTGAAACTGCTTGGCTAATTTGATATTTTCACCCGTCCAAGTGGTCTGTGTAGACTCTCAAATCGGTTGATGTTTGGACAAAATCGGGAATCGGCAATTACTAATTTGTCAAATCATGTGGCCTAACAAGATCAAGCGCCCAAACTGTTAAATATTTGTGTCCAAATGCTCGGGACGAGCAGGCTCATGATTCTGACTAACATGTGAAACTGCTTGGCTAATTTGATATTTTCACCCGTCCAAGTGGTCTGTGTAGACTCTCAAATCGGTTGATCTTTGGACAAAATCGGGAATTGGCAATTACTAATTCGTTAAATCATGTGGCCTAACAAGATCAAGCGCCCAAACTGTTAAATCTTTGTGCCCAAATGCTCGGGACGAGCAGGCTCATGATTCTGACTAACATGTGAAACTGCTTGGTTAATTTGATATTTTCACCCGTCCAAGTGGTCTGTGTAGACTCTCAGATCGGTGATGTTTGGACAAAATCGGGAATTGGCAATTACTAATTTGTGTTAAATCATGTGGCCTAACAAGATCACGCGCCCAAACTGCTAAATCTTTGTGTCCAAATGCTCGTCATTTCTCCTAACCTCTATCTGCTGCTTATATCGGTCTGGATAATGGGCTAAATAGGAAATTCGAGATGACCAATTTGGTTTGATGGCTGACCAATTGAAATTTCATTTGTCCAAATCGGTTCGCAGTTATTCAAAATTACCTGGTCAAAGGAGTATTACATCGAGCATCACATGGATGCACATCATGAAACATTCACCTGGTTCATGAAACCCTCTTATCATCTATAGCGTCGGTACATCGTACCAAAGAGATGACCTACCAAAGAAGGTGCAATTCACTCATACACCCGTCGGCACGCTTACCATTTTCTCCGCCTGCCCCTCCCCTAACCAACGAGAGAAAGGACACGACGCTTCTCCCCCTACCCGCCCCCCCCCTGACAAAAATGAAGAGAAGGCACAAGGGCGCGCGTGCGCACACACAAACAATAGGTATGAGCATTTCCAGCACGTCCTCTCGGACGGATAGATCGGAGCCAATTGGGTGGACAAAAAAGGAAAAAATGAAAAGAGAAAAGGAGTAATTGACCTGTACACAGGTGTCAGTAGCTTGCCTGGAAAGACTTAAGACCCCGGCATGCAGGCAGGCAAACCTGAAGGAATCTAATGATGGGTAGGCAGGCTTAGTCCTGCAACTACGCATCGTTCCCCCCTCCCTCCGTTTCCTGGCCCTGACTTTTCAATCACAAAACGAGCAGGAGGGCTCGAGTTTCCACTCACATTGATCGCCGGGATAGCGTACGCCAGATTGCACAGATGGGACATAATGCTGATAGTACGAATCTCCGGAAGTGTGGCAAGGAAGAGGAATCGCGACAGCGTCTCCCTCGTGTGTGCCACCGGCATGTTCGGCTCTTGTAACACCCCCTCGCCTCCTTTGCCCACGCCTGTAGTCTTTTTTCTGCTGGTCTTGTCGAGTCCCGCGCAACAGCCACACTCCACCGAGCAACCGGTGTGTTCTCCCAACATGTCCACCCTGTCCATAGCACACTCTGCCACGTCAGCAACACTCAGACTGCAAGTTCCGATTGGCGCGGAACATACCCCGCAATCCTCGCACGTGGTGCTTCCTCTGATAGCCTGAATGTTCCGCAGCGCTCTGGAATTCCCTCGTCCCCCTGCTCCTCCTCCTGCTCCACCGTCCTCCTCCAGTCTGTCCTCGCCTTCACCCCTTCCATTTCCTTTCGGTTGCGGCTTTCCCCTCTCCTTCCTCCAATCGAGAAGCGTGACAACGCGCCATATTCCACCTGCAGCAGCCTCATCCTTCCGTGTTGAAACTCTCCCTCCAGCCCCCTCGGGTTTCCCAATCGACACTTGCTTCCCTGAAGTCGGAGAAGAAGAAGAAGACGAATCCTTCCCAGCCAGCGATGACCGTAACGCTCCTTCTGGACTATCTCCGTAGCTTTCCATTCTCTTCGTATATGGCTCAACCACCGAGAGGTCACGTCTAACACCTTCCCTCCGGATACCGCGCACATGGCTAACCTCTGCCTCTCGCCCTCGTCGTCCGTTTCCCATTCCGTTTCCGTCGTGATTTTCTATGCTCCTGTTCTTAACCGATCCCTCGTCCCCTCTCCCTGCGGCAGACCCTGCCCCTTTCATAACCCCCACCACCTCCGATTCCCTCTCCCCTCGCTCCTCCCCAACGTCCCTGGCGAAGTAAGGAAGCGGACCCATTCGCACTTGGAAGTGCCACCCCTTCCGGTCACTTTCATATACTGAGGATGTGGAATCTAGCACTGCCTCCTCCTCCTCCTCCTCCTCCTTCCCTCCTTCTCGTTGCTGCTTCTCACTGCCCTCGCTTTCTCCGTTTGCGGCAAACTCCACATACCTACCTTCAGCGCTCCCTTCATAACGGCCGCGCCGATCAGATCGGCCACCAATCGTTTCTCGTGCTGCTGACTCTGAGTTTCCCGCCCATTTGAACTTCTCGCCTCCGCCTGTGCGCTCTTTCTCCCCAGCAGCCTTTCCCAGCTGCGCTTTTGACGTCTGCCAATGCCCTCGCGATGGCCTGTCGTCGTATTGCCTTCCCCTCAGCTCAGCCGCCTCCCCGCCATTCTTAGCTTGCCGACGAGAGTATATCCTCCCCCCCTCCTCCCCCTCCTCCACGATCGACGCGTCCCCATCCTTGGACCAGAAGAGCTTGAGAGGAAACGGCAGCGAAGAGAACGGTGTTGTCTGCGTTGACGTCGTTGCCACCTGGGGTCGTGGCGGTAGTGGACGTGGGGCATCTTTCACTCCTCCGCCCTTTCCCGACGGGTGGCCAGCCCACTCCTTCCGGTCACTTTCATATACCGACGATATGGAATCTAGCACTGCCTCCTCCTCCTCCTCCTCATCATCATCATCATCATCCTTCCGTCTTTCTCGTTGCTGCTCCTCACTGCCCTCGCTTTCTCCGTTTGCAGCAAACTCCACACACCTACCTTCAGCGCTCCCTTCATAACGGCCGCGCCGATCAGATCGGCCACCAATCGTTTCTCGTGCTGCTGACTCTGAGTTCCCCGCCCATTTTAACCTCTCTCCTCCGCCTGTGCGCTCTTTCTCCCCAGCAGCCTTTCCCAGCTGCGCTTTTGACGTCTGCCAATGCCCTCGCGATGGCCTGCCGTCATAGTGCCTTCCCCTCGCCAGATCAGCCGCCTCCCCGCCATTCTTAGCTTGCCGGCAAGGGTGTATTCTTCCCCCCCCCTCCCCCTCCTCCTCGATCGACGCGTTCCCATCCTTGGACCAGAACAGCTTGAGAGGAAACGGCAGCGAAGAGGACGGCGTTGTCTGCGCTGTCGTCGTTGCCACCTGCGGTGGTGGCGGCCGTGGAGGAGGGGCATCTTTCAGTCCTCCGCCCTTTCCCGACTGGTGGACAGACCTTACCCGTAGAATCGGCAGAGGGAAAGATCGGCTTCCTGACGGCGAACGCGGGGGAGGAGAATCGCGGAACGAGAATCTAGATCGACAAGACAAAGCGGTCGAGGAAAAGAGGTTTCGACGCCGACGAACAACGGCATGGGACGCGGGAATTACCCAAGCAACGCTCCTAATACTATCCGGGCGCAACCAACGCAAGTCATTGTGGCGCCGACGGCAGCGAGTGGTCGAGTGAACAGCTGAGTTAAACCACTCGCCGCGGGAGCCGGTTTCAACCACGGGAGCGCACACTACACAGGAGCTCCATGTCTTCATCATAAGTCTACGTGTATGTCTAACTAGCAGATACCTTTATACAAATACGTTGCGTGAATGTCTTTTTCATACAACAACAATAGTATTCTCTGAATCTCGCAGTGAAGGTATGCGCGTGTGTGGATATCTGAATCTCACTGTGAATGGATGTGTGTATACGGCGATGGCGATGGCTTGAGTAAACAACGCAAAGACAGTGCAGCAATACAAAGAGAGCTGTCTTTTTGCTCTCAGTGAGTCTACCTCCTCTTGGCAACCTGAGGCAAAGAACGGGAGATGATCAAGAAAAAAAAGGAGCAGCTCATCACCTCCGCGCACTTCCCGCCTTTGCGTCTTCCCCGGGCGGGCCACATCTGATTAAGCCGGCTATGGACGTGGCGGTTATCTATCTGCCGCTCCTCGCAGGGCGTCGGCGCTGCTTCCCCAGAAGGCTGGGAGGCATGCCTGTTCCTCTCATCACCCCACAAACGCACCCCTCACCAGTGACACCGTTGAACAGGACAGCACGCACCTACCGCCCACGCTACACCTCGACACCTGTTTGAGCGAGTGAACGCCACGCGAGCAAGAGAGCAGCTTCCCTGTGGACAAAGCCAGAGAGAGATGGTTCCGAACACTCCGATCTGGGACGAGGACCCGCACGAAGAGTCAGTCGCCTAGCACCGGCGCCCGTACTAGGAAGCTTCGGGAAGATACAGCCGCGATGGTGAACCAGGATGCCCTCGGATATTTGCGCTTGGATTTTGCGGAGTCCTCGCCTTCCTGAGATCCTCCGTCGTCCTCCCCGTCACCGTCTTTTCCGGAAACCACTTCTCTTTTCATCACCTCCTCCTTCGCGGACTCCAGCAGCCTTCCCGCCAGCAGTTCGAGCTACAAACCAAACAAACAGCTTACACGACAAGATGGAGCGCAGCTAAACAGCCAGGACGATGGCGCAAACGAACGGAAAGGCGGGAACCTCACTACGTAGAAATACGTTCGCTATATACAGAACAGACTTGATTGTGAGAGACGGGGAAATGGCCCATAAGCTGGCGATCCTCCTGGGGCAGGAACGGGGGGCTACTGTAGCAGCGTGGATAGTCTGACCGAGGGAAACGGTACCGAACCCACGGTCGGACCCCCTCCCCCCAACATCACCTGATCTGACAGTGATGGCTACGGCGACCGGGGGTCTCGGCCCACATGCACTCGTCTAGTTTAGGGCCTCGCCACACTACTCCCGACTTGGAGTAAAAAAGGCCACTTTCTTCTTTTGTTTCTTTTCTTTTTGAAAGGCCATTTTCAGGAGTGCGTCATCGCCACACCAACTCCCCACTTGCAGATGTCAGAATGCATTCGGGAGCAGTCAGAAATTTGCTTTCCACCCAAGAGCCTAGCTCAGTGGGTACGCCCATGAACTGCTGAAATAGAGTTTCAAATCCAAATAATGCACCTTGATGAGTAAAACCAAATAGTTCCGAATTGCTTGGGGCTGGGTCCATGTCTCACTACCAGCTTTGAGCTACCTCAACGCTGAGCGTTCAATCACATGTGACAGGGTGCGACCTCCAAGATGCTAGATGTCCCTGCGACCCTGCGAATCCAGCGGTGGATTCAAGGAAAGAAAAAAATTAATTTCCTTTTCTTGCTTTTTTTAATATTGAAAACCAGAGTAAAATGTTTTTTTCTCAAATAGAACGCCCCCTACTTCCGTTGAGCTAGCTCTCATTTTTTTTTCTTCGTTTTCTTGGTAGTGAGCTAGCTCTCTTTTTTTTTTCTTGGTAGCCAGCTCAACGACTATTTCTCACCGAAGGACAACTTTTATTGACACAATGAGCCTGGCTTCTGACGTATCATTGTACAGTACCATCCGAAGCCCAGCCTGGGTCCATGTCCCACTACCAGCGTTGAGCTACCTCAACGCTGAGCATTCAATCACATGTGACAGGGCGCGACCTCCAAGATGCTAGATGTCCAAGACGCTAGATGTCCCTGCGAATCCAGCGGTGGATTCAAGGAAAGAATTTTTTTTTTTTCCTTTTCTTGCTTTTTTTAATATTGAAAACCAGAGTAAAATGCCTTTTCTCAAATAGAACGCCCCTACTTCCGTTGAGCTAGCTCTCATTTTTTTTTTCTTGGTAGCCAGCTCGACGAAGATTTCTCACCGAACGACAACTTTTATTGACACAATGAGCCTGGCTTCTGACGTATCATTGTACCATACCATCCGAAGCCCGATTCTGCAAATGGAGCGACAAGGGACCGGCCAAGAGGTAGTACTTTCACACAGGTTGTTGAATTTGGCCGCGTTTAGTGGATAGGTGCATTCAAGAGGAAGTTATTTTCCTCACGCTGTCCTGTTTTCCTGATTGTGACGCTCCTGATTGTGATGCTCCTGCATCGTGAATTCGGGCACCAGGTTGTTCGGGCACCGTGCGTGAAGAGAGGAGTGAAAAAAATGAAATGGAAAAAATGATAAAAAAGAGAACGTCTGGAAATTAAAAAATAGCTTTCTTCATTTCTAATGAATAAAAAAATGCTTGAAAAGCTGTCACACTGTCGAGCTAGCTAGCTCAACTCAACGGTGCAAGTGGGACATGGCCCCTGGTCAGCTCAATGATGATATATCAAGGCTGTCCCCCTTTGAAAAAAAAAAAAAAAAGATTGCATTGCAGAGTACTCCCGAAATAGCTTGGGCTCCCACCTGCAAATGGCCATTTTCGGGAGACCTCGCACCAAGGCCCATGGGGCTCGACAGATTTGGAGAGGAGGAGCACGCCATACCAACTCTTTTTTTTTTCTTTTTTTTTTTTAACGTGTATCATTTCATTTCCAATACAAGTTTCTGGGGCCGGGGACCTCACAATTCAACCCGGTGTAACTGACATCACTGTTGAATCTGTTTGTTTGCTGGAAATCGGGTCCAGCATCCCATTGAATACTTACGGTCTGCAATTTCCTGCTAAATACAGTCCTCTCAGCTAACGCTGCCAGACCGACTTACAAAACAGACCGAGGCCCATGGGGCTCGCCAGATTTGGAGAGGAGGAGCACCGCCATACCAACTCTTGAAAATCACAGTGAGAGCGGTCAGAATTCAGGTTTCGAGAGTGCTCTCGAATAGTGGTCCTTGCCCTGCCTACAAAGTGGCCAACTTCGAGAGTGGTCAGAGGCACCTCCAATTTCGGCCCGAAACTCAGGGAGCACACCACGATAGACAACCGTTTGTGGCCACCACTTTTGTGTGCGTGGTTTGAGAGAACTCTCGAACAGTTGTCGAGCGCATCGGCTCCTGCCTTTTTCGCAAAAAGGGGGAGCCCTCCCGGCCATGTCACGCAGGAGAAACGAAACAAAACAGAGACAACTTAGGAACGACGCACAATAACCCTACTAACCGCCGAAGCGGTGTCGGTGCGAATACCCTTACAAGAGTATCTGCCCTGGTTTTTGCAAGCAACAGAAAATAAGCTGATTTACAATCTAAGTATACCGCGTGAGGCGCGACTGCGTCTGTGGATTACGATTGATTGGATAATTGACTAGGGTAGAGAGTGTGTGGGCGCGCAAACTTAAGGCGCGCGTGATCTGTTTTCCCTTTGATGATTGTGAAAGTCGGCGTTGGTGGCCGACCAGATTTTTATTTCTGATTGAACTAGGATTAAAAAGATTCTGACCCTTTAAATGATTGATGCACTTGTCTGTGACTTGTGCGTAAGTACGAAGGACGACATTAACAACAACGTGAATTTTCAAAAACGTCTCGGTAGGTCCGTGCGTCGCACAATACATGTTTATTTAAGTGTCCCTCAAAGCGAAGATCCAGACTGAGGCCTTACATTGTTGGTTACAGCATCGAACCCTTCGTCAGAAAGATTCAGGGATCGATGCAGCGGGCCTCCATCTGCCTTGGCCTACAACCAAGGCCTATTTGGTTACTTGCCAGTTCGGCCTGTGGGACCAGGCCGTGGCCTGACCCCACAGGTCGTGTGTTGTTCCAGTCCTGCCCGGTACCACTGTCGATACCAGTCCAGTCCAGTCCAGTCAGTCAGTCCGTTGGGGGTATACCCCAACTGTTGTCTGTTTTTCGTCATTCATCATTTTTGCACTTGTTGGAGTATGTGCGGTGTTGAGTCTGCGTCGGAGTTGCGTTGTCCCTTCCAGCTCCATCTCCACTTCCTCCTTCCTTTACCCCTTCGTCTCCATCCTGTCGGACCGCCATCTCGGCGGGTCCGGCACACTGGTATCAGAGCGGGAACGGTCCCCGCTCCAAACCGCCCTCCCTCCCTCACAAAACAGCAGAAATAGGTGTAATCCCGATAGCGGGATTTTCAGGGTTTTGGGGGGTGAAAACAACAAAAAACCGCGGAAAGAACAGAAGCGTGGAGAGACAGACACGTGGCGAAAAAGGAGAGGAGTATTACGATGCGTGCGCGAAAGCGCCAAGGCCAAGGCCGCCGCACACGCGCACGCGCCATGCGCCCCGCTGCTATGCCCCGCCTCGCGACCTCTCTCTGATATATATTATCAAGATTCGGGATGCTACCAATGTCAGGGTTTGAACCTGGGGAGTTGACACTCATGCGCGTGTGTAGCCAGTGCCTTAAAACACTCGCCAAAGCCTCAATCTAAGTTGAGATTGTGGCACGTTGGTGTTAAAGAAGTGCCACGACAGCTCTTTACCCCCTACACCGCCCCCCCCGGGGCGGGCATGAGTGTTGCTGCTTCCGCACGTGGCTGATAGCTGGTGGCTATCTACAGTGCCACGTGGCAGCATGCTGAGGATCTTGAAGACCCCCCTGGCTAGGGGGCTGCACTACAGTGAAATTTGTGGTTGATCAAGATCTCAGTCAACCACAGATTATCAGCGTTATTTTTTTATTACTGAGGCATTAGGCCAGCAGCATCTTGAAGGCTCTGGATCTTGGTGGAGCTCTGCTCTTGGCGATCCAAGAGCCTGGTATCACCCTTCTACCTCTAACCTACTATCCCCCAATCCCTCTCCACTCATCTTTTTCTTTTTCTCTCCTCTCCTCCCCACTCATCATCTTCTACTAATCTCATCTACTACTCCCCATCTTTTCCATATCCTTTTCTCTCATTCTATCACCCTCCTCTCCCCCTTCTCTCCCCCAACTACAACCCCATCATCTCCCCCATCTCTCACTTTACTTTTTCTTTCTCTTCTCACCTATTTCTCTCTTTCTTCATCACTTTTTCATCCCCCCCCCCAAACTTCGAATTTTCTGTTTTTCTTATTTTCTCTTTCTCTTTGATGTAAATTTTATCTTTTCCTCTAAAGATTCGAATTATCTTAGTCCCTACTTTTTTTCTCATTTTTTGATTTAGTTTTATTTTTATTTTATTTATTCTGAAAATTTAAAATTTTCTACAACACCTTTATATCTTGCTAGGACTTAGTCTTTTCTGTTGTCGGCGCATATTTTGACCCCTTGGGGAAAACGAAGTGTTGCCGAAATTTTGTCTTTCCTCCCTACTTTCTTCTTACCGCACATTTTGACCCCT